TTTGTAAAAAAACAAAAAAAACAATGAAAATGTTAAGATTTAGAACATCACTGCTGATATGAAAAGAGAGTAAAACTGTTTTAATCTAAAGTCATCATGATATTTCATGATGTTCCAACATAATAGCTACTATAATGGATTCAGTGTAAAGTAGCAACCAAAGTTTTGCTTTGCCGTTTCTCCAAATTTATTGAATCTTGTTTTTAATTACCGTATGTTCAGGCATTTAGGATACGACGATTTGAGGACCTTCCCGACAGCTTTTTAACGATCCGGCTGTTAGAAGACGAGCACGCCCCACTCTGCAAGAAGCTCAGGACCGAGGACCCAGAGCTGGAGCAGCTACAGCGCGGCGCGGACGCGGGGAGGAAGGTGGTGGAGATACTGCGGCGGGTGGTGCCTCTAGCAGTCGAGTCCCTGAACCGCCAGCTGGAGTCGTCTGTCGCCCAGCTTGGCAAAGTGGAGGAGGCCGTGCAGAGGCGGGAGCAGCGGGAGCCGGCCGGCGTTTTGGGCACCGCGTCGGACGCCGTGGAGGAGCCGCTGCAGCTGGCGCAGGAGCTGGAGGCCAGCCACCGCCTGCTCACCTCCACCAAGTGCACCGTCACAGCCGAAGAGGAGGGTGGCAACGCCTGGACGGCCTCTGTGCAGCCCGGCGGGTGCGGCGACATCTTGCCCGTCCTTCTGCTGCAGCTGCGGGCGGACGGCCAGCTGGGAAAGGTGAGTCACCAAGCAGGTGCGCAGCCATGTTGGTGTTGTGTTGATTAGGTAGGTGCTCATCCACTGTCTATCTCTCCAGGTTGACGACACCATCGCCGAACCTCGCGGCCCTGCTGCGGCTTACGTGGGGCCGCCTCTGATCTCTGTTCTATGGATAAATGAAAAACACCTCGACAATGGTCGTCTAAAAGTGAGTGACATTCTTCGTGACATCCCGAAGAAATGGTCCATGCCTCGCAGCATGAAGTACTTAACGGGTGACGGCTCTGACGACTTGCTGCGGGTCATGGGTGCGCACCTAGAGGAGCTGGTGACTTCGGGGGATGTTCAGCCCTGCGTCATGGAAGAGGTGCGTAAGATGTCGGGACTCAGAAGACTGGAAGTTCAATGCGCTAAGAATGTGGACTACCCGGACCTGCCGTTACAGCTGGAAGAACTTTGTTTATATTATGTTACCGAGAATCAGCTTCGTTGTGTGGAGCGCATGCCCAGGCTGCGCAGCTTGGCGGTGCACAATTACCAAGGTCCTAATCTGACTTTCCCTCCCTCGCAGCATGGCAGGCTGCTTTGGCTTGAGGTGTCTTTTGATGTTGACCACAAGCCCACCATGCTGTCATTGATTCGGGCCAATGCCTCGTCTCTGCAGGAGCTCCGTATATTCTGTGCCTTCCCTACCGATAGCAAGGGCAATTACTTCCCCGACCTGGGCCAGGAGCTAGCGGCGTGCGATCTGCGTACCTTGCGGCGGCTCGTCCTTGTACGCCCTGTGAAATATCCGTGCACTGACCAAACTGTACGCTGCGTGTTGGAGCGAAGAACTATTCAAAGCGCATTACCCACGTGTATCGACGTGGTTTGCAAGTCGTGTCACACACCGGAAATCTAGCCGCACTATGTGTTCAGACGCGTCAATGTAGCGAAACCCCCTTCAAGACAGGAGATAAATTGTTGCGCGCACTATAACCCAAGCTACAAGGACTTTTAAACCTCTGAAATAGTCTAAAAATTGTGTTGTTGTTCTTTAAAAAATTCTAAGGTACTTCTCAAGTTTGGTCAATTAAACTTTTTGTAAGTAAGTAATACGTATTAGTCTCTGTCTGCACCACCAGCTCGACTCGTCGGTTGGTCAACTTGGCCGAGTAGAGGAGGTGGGTGCAGCGGGAGGCGGCCGGCGATGTGTGGGCACCGCGTTGGACGCCCTGGAGTAGCCGCTGCAGCTGGCGGGGCAGCTGCCACTGTCAGCTGGACCTTATACCGCGCCCGCGGTCCGTGCTGTGCTGGTCGACCAAGGTATATATAGTGGGACGGGGCGAGTGCCTCGCGGCGGAGGATAGACCACCCGCCTCAGCAGCGGAGCGCGGCGGGCCGGCCCACCTCGCAGGGGTTCTCGATGGGACGGACCATGATAGTAGGACCTAACACACCGGACCTAAGGGTCCTACTGTTATGGACGGACGGTGTGAAATCCGATAGGCTCTGATCAGACAGCATCTGGACGAGCACGCGGGCAGTGAGGCGGCCACCTGGACCATCATCGGGGCGCTCTGCTGCCTCCCCCAATCGCGTCTGCGAGCGTGCGAGCCTCTCTGTGTGTGTGTGTGTGTGTGTGTGTGTGTGTGTGTGTGTGTGTGTGTGTGTGTGTGTGTGTGT